TTATATTGTAATAAAACACATTTATTGTTTTTCCTTTTAATTTTGCATTACTTACATTGATTTCTCGTACATACTGCAAGGAATAAATCACTCCAAGCTTGCAAAGTGCTAGGAAGACTGGAACCTGAGCATCTGGGCTTGCTTCAGCTGCCATGTCATAGAATCGTTTTGCAAGATGAATATCCTAAAGTTAAGAAAATACAAAGCTCAATTTTGAAGAACCTGAAAAGCTAACTATGAAATGCAGAGTTTTGTCTACAAGCTATTGTATAGTGTCATTTGAATCCAAGGTTTTTGGTCAAGTTAAATGAAACCCATTCAGTAAAACTTCCACTTTTTTTTTAAGGAGTGTTCACCTTTGAATAGACAAGTAAAGGAAAGCTTCGATCTCAGGATGAAACTATCATAACTGATGCTAAAATTGAAACTCATAAAGAGATTACTATTAATGTATTCAATCCATGTACTGTAAACCAAGGCACATATGTAGGTAACTCTAGCACACTCTAACATCTCCAACACCACACCAAACTTGAAAGACTAAGAAAACAGAAGTCACAGAGGAGTACACAGCAGCAACTCCCAGTTATACTACAGTATGCCTGCTGCATAGTGCAGCTTCTATTTCCACATGTATTCCCAAATTAGATTCTACTCCTTCCTTATCCAAAGGAGACATAACTTGCATTACTGAGGGCAGCCTGGCAAAAGCATGAGCACAAACAGCCAGCAACTTTAGGAAGAGCCTAAATTAGTGTTCTCTTCTGTGGTAGCTGGAACAAGGTGGTGACTGTAGCAAGAGGAACAGATGATACGTGTACCTGAATAGTTTAACTTTGGTTGGGGTTTTTTTTGGCTCTGCTTCAGATACATACTGTGCAATCTTACAATACATGGATACAAACTGCCTATGTTCATTCACTGATGTGAAGGACAGGCCTGTGTAAGACTTACCTCTGGAAGTGTTCCAAGTTCCACACTTAAAATAAGACAAATCCCCAGGACTTCATGCCACATGTTCATTTTATAATTTTACTCTGATTATGAAATACCATAAAGATTTTTTTGCTCATTGATACAACAAACCTTAGTTCCATAACACATGTGGAAATAACAGTATGAACATCAACACGTTATGTGAATGAGATGTACTAAGCTCACATTTTAATACTTTAATTCACTAGAATAACTCTAAATACTCCTTGAGCCTCGAAAGTCTGGCTTTTATACAACTATTTAAAAGACTTTCCTTACATCCTTTGTACTGTGCTAGTATCAGTGTAGAAGCAGATCCTAAATCACGGCTTATTTAATTTCTAATTAGAAAACACTTCAATCTGCTTACACATGCTTCACTCTCACTTGACAGAGAAGTGAGAACTATAGGAGTCTGAGCTTTAACACACAAATAGCACTGAAATACCATGCCAAATCTTAAGAGAAGACCATGAGAAAATTAATTCAAGAAAATTCTTATTTTGAGTAGTAGTATATGGAAACAGTCTTCATTCTGACATGTAGGCTGAGGAACTGGACAACATTAATTCTATGAAGTTTGTAACAGCATACACACATGAGATTTTTGAAGGGGCTTAGTATTTGGCATTAACCTGGTATGGGTCAAAACCATCTACATACAGGAAGTATAGCATAGAATCCTGTATGTAAGAAAGACTATTTATTCAATAAGTAAAGAAAAAATAAGGCAAAAGCTGTTTGGGGGAAAAAACTCATTAAAAAATACCATATTCGTTCAGGATTATCCAGAATGAGCAGTGACCTGAATTAAAGTTGTACATGCCACCTTATTGGATCGTTCTCCCTAACTCTGGAGTGCTTGCAGTCTTAATGATGCGGACATAGGCGGGGAGTAAGTAAGACTTCAACAGACTAAATCCCCAATTCGTTAGATACTATAGTGCTAAAATCTTTATACGTTCCTTCCACAGGCCTCTAGTCGAAGAACAGACTTCAGTGGTAAACATCACCTGCTATATCAGGAAGCATGATTTTAACTGTCAGTCATTTTCAGAGGTGCTCAAAATTCAGCAGTTCTCATTCTGGGAAAGGAAAACCAAATATCCTTTTGCTTCATTCAAAACTCAGTCTTAGCCTTTTTCAGAATATCCTAGCCCAGTGCCATTTTAGTCTTGCCTAGTCAGTCCTAAATCGCCATCCTCTCATCTTAACAGTTGTAAAGTCTTAGGACACAGCAAGCAAAGACATTACATATCCAGAATTCCTAAGACTAGTTTTATACATGGAATTTCCTTCCTTAGACATTCTCAGTGCTTCTTTCCCATATCTATATTAACTATCTCAACTCTTCCTTCCACAATGGATCTGTATGAGAGGAAAATATTATTCATCTGCGTAAAGCAAGGTTGCATATGCCCATCATGAGCCCCTGTGTACTCCTTTCAGCTATCTATGTGTAGCCATCTCTGCTTCAGGTTGGAGAATACTCCGTGCAAATGATAGCAATTAGGACTCATTTTTCTCAAATTCTTAGCAGTGATACTGAACATAATGTAATAACATTTTCAAAGTTTTTATTACCCATTCTAAGTTGTGTTATTTTCAAAGCAGAAGCAAAAGAAATAAAAAAATTCTGTGTCTGAAAGGATTATTTTTTTTTTTTTAAAAAAAAAAAAAAAAAAGAAAACCTCCCTACTTTAGTACTGTTGCTTTTAGCTGCAGGCTCATTTTCAGAAGTTAAACTAGTTTTCAGGACTCAGTTAAAAAGAGAAAACAGTGCTAAAATAAAATCTGAAGATAAGCTTTACAAATAATACTGTTTGGGTACCATATTGTCACTTCTACAGCTCAGTCAGTAAGCAGTTTTCAAATGTTGATTGTTTGTTGCTGCCAAAGTAACAATATTGACCGAAGACTTGACCTTCGCTGTTCTGACCTTTTTCCAAGAATTTAGGGGAGAAGCAGCAAGAACTGGTCTTTTAACAGACCAACAGAATAATTAAAAAGCGCATACCTAGACAAAAACCAAAAGTTGTAGCTCACTGAAAATAAGGAAAATGAAACTGTTTCCTACAGTTCCAAGTAACCCAGAAGGTATTACTAAATTCATACATTAATTGCATGAATTAATCCTACATTAAGGTAAGGTAGGCCACTCAAAATCAGTGTGCAATTACTAATTATGTTATTTTGACACAAACAAGAACACGTTGCTCTGGATTCCACAAGTTTTAGTTAACTCATGGACAGCAATACACCATAGGCTTCCTCAGCGAACCAGATATACTGCCTTCTTTTAGGCAATGCAGTTTGTACAGCAGATTGTGGCCTAGCCTAATTTGAAAAACCATACCTAATAATCACATGGTTGGTGGTGCTTATGCTTTGTTACTCAAAGATGCATAGAAGTTGTTTTCAAAATGTCATGATATAGAAAACAAATTAAGCAGTGTTGGCAGAGGATGAGAACAATCTTGTGCTACAATACTCTGAACCTGGAATTGATTTACATTCATTTCATTACACTTTAAAGTCTTGAAAGCACTACTTAGGCATATGGCACTCTTTTTGCCAATCTTCACAATTTTGGACAAATAGTTTTTTCCCTGTCTATGCCTCATTTTTACACATAGGTAAGTGTGAGGTGGATATACTTATCCATTTGCTATTGGAGAATGTATTGGGACACATGCTAATTCCTACTAAATGGTTATATAGTACCCATGTGGCACCACTATAGTGGTTATGGACTTAATCTAATATTAGTAAATGTACGGTAATGAAGCAGACTATCAGCCTACAGGTTACTCACCTGCTTGATGCCCAATCCCTTCTCATGCATGTAGCCCAGATTAAACATTGCTTGGGCACTGTGCTGTTGCTCTGATGCCAGTCGATAGTGAATAAATGCAGTTTCATAATCAACATCAGTACCAAACCCATAAAAATGGTAATCTCCAAGTTTAATTCTTGCAACAGTATATCCTATAAATCAAGAAACAACAAAACAGATAAAATAGCTAGGCAAAGAAAGCCTTTTAGTTTCATATGAAGATGCAACAAGGGCTTTAGTATTACTTTCCACAGTTTGCACGAACTGTTTCCCTTTTCTCCCTCTCTCACATAAACAGCTTTTTTTTGTTTAAATTGAGTTTAGCTAACCAAAACACAACTGATTTCTATTTTCAGGAAAGTCCTTTATCTAGTAATCCTGCCAACATTTTTATTGCTATTTAGTGGCATCAGTTGAAAAACTGTATCATGTTGTTCATAGTCACTTACTACAGAAAAACTTTTCACTGCTACATGGTCATTAAGTGCTTCAGCATTTTTTTTTTTTTTTTAAAACAGAGACACTGAAAACTTGAAACACAAAGTCTCTCATATCATCCTTTTGTAACTGAATGCTTAACCATCCCATCCTCTCAATTTCTAACTTTCTACTAAAAGCCAAGTAGGTCTGAAGATTTTCAGACAAAACTTTCAGGCTCCATTTGCATGATACATTTGTTCTTAAGTAAAAAGCTAGTAGATGTAGATGCACCCGTATGAAAGTTAGAAACCTCACACTGAGAGATTTAATGATTAAGTTTAGTTTTGCTTATTTTAGGATAGGATCACAAGCACCAGAGTTTAAACTTGGGCTGGTTGGACATCAAGACTGCGTTCTTCACCACTGAGCTTTGCTTGCTTTGAATAGGAAAATGCATTTCTTAGAAATGATGACACGTACCAAAATCCTAGAGAGTACTTTCTATCTATTCTTCTAAGTGGACCTATTTTTAGAAAAAACAGTGTAAACATTCCTAATGCTGTTTAATGCTGGTCTATAATTCCATATGGAACAGCAAAAGAAACACACCATACATTTGTAGTTAGTCCTTTTATTCTTCAGGATCTCAGAATGGCCGAGAACTGCAAGCATATTGCAATGACATTATAGCTAACAGTGGAACAAATAACAGCAGCTACTCTACGTGGAATATAACTAATGTTGAGCAGAAGAAGGTAAGCCTTCCCTCCTTCCATGTTTCATAAAAACATGAGATCAAACATTAATTGCTCTACTAAAAATAAAGTAACTGGAATTGTGAGGTACAGACATACCTTGAGAAGCTGCTCTATTCCAGTGAAGCAAAGCTCGAGGATAGGTTTCGTTTTCTCCTACTATGCTAGCTTCTTCTAGAGAAGAAAGTAATTCAGTTAAATAGGAACATGGTATATGCACACAACACCACAAAAACCCCCATACTTCTATTCAGTCTGCTGAAATGAATTAAAAGCTTGAACTAATCTGTGCTATAGCACAAACAACATTGAACTCACCTGAAACTTACAAAAATCCCTTTCATTTATACAGTCTTTCCATATATCTACCCCCATAAGAGCTAGGAACCAATCGTATCATTTCATCCTGAAATACTGCTTACTAAGTGTCTTTCCCATTCCT